GTGCAAGCGTTATCCTCACCCACAGCTCCTGGCCCACAGGGGCCTCTCAGTAGGTAAATGTGGGATTAAGTCATGAGTCTGCTGGGAAGAAAGCTCACAGAATCAGCCCTGTCTTCCCCATTCCTTGTCTGCAAGAGGAATGCCATTCAGCACTTCTTTAAGGTATTTTGAGAAGAGTGAAATACTAGTATGTCTTGATTTTCCTGAGTTTATCCTTTTGTCTGTCCTTTGGCCTCATTCGACTTCTCTGAGCTAAGATGGTGTTAACCACATCTCCTTGAGGTTTGAAGGGGATCCAGAAGGCTCCCTGTCCCCTAAATTTAAAACAAAAGCCTAGTCTTCTCCCCCCCTCCTCCCACCATTCTGTTCCCTGCTCCACTACTCCTGCTTTAAAAAATGCTTAGGTTTGAAATTTGCTTAAAGATAATTTTATTCACCTTTTCTAGGTTTTTCTTAGAGGAATTTAAACTTTTCAAGTAATACTCCTTGTCAGTTATACCTCATTAAAGCTGAAAAACAGTGGTAATGAAGAGAAGATGTGGTTGAAGAGGCCCAAGGACACAGATGTACAGATTTTGGAGAGGCAGCTCCTGAATTTGATTAAAGGAATTATTTTTCCCTGAGGTTCGGTCCCTTAAACCTAGTTTTTCCCTGGGACTAACAGGCTGCTGGCAAGTCAAACTGTGATCTTCTTTTCTTTTCTTTTTTTTTTTTGTGTGTGTGATTTTCTGATTTCTAATTTTCTAATTTCTTTTTTTTTTAATTTTTTTATTAGTTTTCTTTATTTTTGAGAGGCAGAGAGAGACAGAGCACGTGTCTGAAGGGCAGAGAGAGAGTGAGACACAGAATCGGAAGCAGGCTCCAGGCTCTGAGCTGTCAGCACGGAACCCGATGCGGGGCCCGAACTCACGAACCGTGAGATCATGACCTGAGCCGAATTCGGATGCTCAACCTACTGAGCCACCCAGGCGGCCCTCTAATTTTCTAATTTCTGAGGTCGGATCTTTTCAATGCTAGGTCTTCTCATGACAAAGACGTTTGATTTCTGTTTCTTTTGAAATCAAACTCACTCCTAATATCTGATTGAAAATTCACATGTTCTAGATGGAGGGATTGATAAAAGAGAAGAAACCATGCCATGTTTAAATGCACCCCGTAAGAACACAGTCCAAAACAAAACAGCACTTCTTTTTCCCTCGCGACCTGGCCAGGCCTTCCCCGTTTCTCCCACATAATCAAGAAGAGTACCTCTTGCAGGCAGCTTTTGTCAAATCAGAAATGAAGTATAGATAGATACACACACCAGGATATGGAGCGCCCCTAACTTCTTGACCATGCGGAGGAACACGGGGGACCCTGCCTGTACATGCCCACTGAGAAAACAGTCTGTCGGGAAAGAAGATAGAGATAAAGTGAACGTTGCAGGAAGGCTGTAGGCAGTGCTAACATGTCTGGGCAGATGAACACTGTGAGAAGCATGGCTTTAAAGGTGACCTGACTGGATTAGCCAAATGTGAGTAATCTGGTGAGCATAAGTGTCAGGGTTTATAATAAAATATAGAAAGACACCAGCCTCATCCTCCATTTTTAAAACAAAATCATGTTTTCAGCAATATTAACATCCTTGATGATAAAGTTGGTAATCTTAGTAATGCTCCTAGTGTACTTCTTAAAATATGACATCAAAATATTGAAAGTGTCTTCTCCGAAAGAAGTGGGCAGATTTGATCATTGAAATAAAGCCTGGATTTGGTTTTGCAGTTAGCTGCTGAAGGTGTCACCTTACTTTCCAGGGCCACATCTCACCTTTTGGAGGCAAAAGATACCACTACTCCCCACCTGCTTGGTTCAGGGCAGAGCAACATCTTTTCTGAAATCTACCACACCAGATTTCTTAAGCCTTTCTCAGATCCCTTCAGTGCATTTCGATTTGCAAAACTGAAAGGGCATTTTAAAAATTAGCATTTTTTT